CCCCGTTTCGAGGACCGATGGGGGCTCCTTTGTGTGTTTCTAGCCTGCGGTCGGGGATGGCAGCGTTCCGGCCCCAAGGGGTTAGCAGACGCGTGAAGGGGGGAGGTTGGTCCCGGCTCTGACACTGCATCGAGCTCAGCTCTACCGACTCAGTTTCCCCGCCCGGCCTAGTGCCCTTGCGGAGGAGGTGGAGAGAGGGATGCGGTATTCGTAGGGCAGCGCTCTGAACAAGAGTCATCAAAAGGCTTTCTCCCTGTCTCCTCAGAAGTCAGGGATGCTCTTCTCCCCTCCTTCATAAAAGCCCCAACAGGTCTTCTTGGCCTGGTTTTAGGTACTCTTCCCCAGAAAAAACACTTCATCTGTACCAGGGTTCCTGGTACCCGGTACCTGATTTAAATTAAGATCTTGGTCCCTTTCTATTGTTAAAATCCTATTTCCATGATTTTCTAGATATTATTATTCTATAAAAATGATCCAGACTAGATATAGGAACCAGTCAAGATATTTTGCCACAAGAGCTAGGACAGGAAGACTTAAGTAGTATCCTGCACCATGCTGATCTCTCGGGGATCCTTCACCTGCTTCTGCTACTGCAGATGAGTGGACGCCCATTTACCCTGGCTCTTCCTACATGGGTGGAAACCTTTCTTTTGTCACTGTGCTTCAGGCTGGACCTGGTCTGAGAGTGAGTCTTTGAATTGTCTTTGTACTTTCCCAACTTGTCAAGGTGGGTGTGCGACCTGAGGAAAGGGCTTAGGCTTGGGCTTTGGGCCAGGTATATGAATTCATTTGGCACCAAATTTGGGCCCCCAAAATAAGGGCATTTGTAGCTAGAGTAGAAGACAAGGGAACAATGATTTCATTCGCTATGATAATCCTCTCCACCAATGCAGTAAGTGCATAGGATTCATCACTCAATCTTTTTTCTCTCCATCTAGACCTTCTGCAGGAGAGATCTAAGTTAGCCAGTCCTGAGAGGTGGTGAGGGTGTACTGGCCACTCAGTCTCAGCTCCCTGTGCCCAAAGTGTCTAGGTATAGGTCTGCTCACCCACGCTGTTAGCTAAACCCTCTCTGGGAAGTTGCAGTTCCATTAAGTGATCAGGCTATATATGGGCCTGTAGGGACTGGAACCTTCTTTCTTTTCTTTCTTTTATTTATTTTATACAAACTTGTGTTCATCCTATTCTTTTCTTACAGTTTCTGAAAGAAGGACCAAGTAATGCCAAGAATTGCCAGATAAAGAGGACCTTCCTAGATCTGTAACTGGGATTAACCAATTCTTGACTTCAGTCGGAACCTTCAACTAATTCTCAGGATAAAGTCAAAACAGGCCTGTGACCATCCCTTGAATACTGATGGTGTAAACAAGTTTCTGGCTCCCCCAGGTCAAGCAGAGAAACACATTTTTATTAGAATGTGGGGTTTCTTTTTTGTTATTCAAACATACACCCACACACATCCTCTTCACCCTCCCTAATGAAAAACTTCAACAGATGGGGAGCCTAGACTCCCAAGCCTACTGGCTGAGATCACTTCAGTCAAGCGTCAGTTGGCTGGTACAGAATGGGGGAGGGAGAAGGGTCGAGTAACTAGTATAGATAATCACTATCTTTTAATAATACTCCTTACAGATAGAAATTCAGAAAGTCCTCTTCGGCAAAGTTAGCAGCCTCTGTGGCCTAGGAAACCAATTTGGCTGATGTGTCTCTGGTAGGGACTAGGCTTAGGGCTGCACCAAGGAGAAAGTACTCGCTCTATATTCTCTCCCTCTCTCTCATTTGAAAGACTGTACAAAGAAATGGTACAAATGGATGGTTAACTTAATGATTCCATCAGAGGCAGATTTTTCTCTGTCAGGTCCCTGGATGAGGCTGAGGTCTGAAAGCCAGGAGGCAGAATGTGTAATCGCCCTTTCTTACCACCTTTCCAGGGGCCGGGACTGCTCTTCCTTACAGGGGCCTTTCCTCCGCAACTTCCCCATCCCCCTGGTTTGCTCAGTTGGGTCTCCTCACCCCACTTCTGGCTGGGTCCTAAGTTTCTCCTGGTAGCCATGGCAAGCTCTTTCTCTGCCTAAATCTTTCCCCACCCCCACCTCCTATTTTGCAGCTGGCCACTCCAGCCACCTTATCTCTACCCTGCTTTAATTCACATTTGATTGTCTCAACCGAACAATCAGGGGCTCCCAAATGACTGCCACCGTCCCCCTGCCCCGCATCCATGGGCCTGAGCTTGAGGCCCTGACCACTTTCTTCAGGCCTCAGGAGGATCCCCCAGAACCTCCCTGATCCCACCTCCCCCAAACCAGTCTCTACAGGGAAAAGGCAGAGCTGGCCACGGCCGGAGCCTAAAAACCATTTCCTCCCTTTGGGCAAACGAGGAAAACCTTCCAGAGCTCAAAGCCCGAAGCGAGGCCCGGCCCCTCCCCACCTGCCGGCGTCCGCCCCGCGCTGCCTTTGTGCAGCC